CCAAGTCCTCTGCTATACTAGTTATCATAATTCCCAGCCGTGGATACTGTACCAAGTCCACGGTTGGATATTGATTATTATGATAACTAATATGGGAGAGGACTTCGTTCAACTAAGTCTCTCGGACAACAAGTCCTAGTTGCAAAAACAAAGTCAACCCATTTCTTTAAATCGAAAGACGACTGTGACAATACCGAGGGCCGCACCATCTTGGTCTTTGTATCTTCAAATAAATTAGAGCGTTTAAGATATTACCTGGTTGATAAAGCGAACTGGAATTACAAATATATGATAGAATGATATACTGTCTTCACATTCTTTTCATTTTAATTATTCTGATTATTTTATGTGGTGGGGGATATCCTTGTTGGAAATTGGCATCGATTGTTGACCTTTTAAATCCCGTTTCTTGGTTTTTATATTTTTTACATATAATCATTTTGCAGTAATTTGCAGTACCACAATCAAAACATTGCCTTTTGTATTTGAGCTAGACGTTGGCATTTGTTGCTGCTTTGCTTTCTCCATATAACTTGATCATAAATAATCACTTTGTATAGCCGATAAAAACCCACTATATCTACTTACTACTTTCTTCGTATTACTTCTGACTAGTCCAGTCTGCAGGCCTGAAAAAAGTGCCAAGCTTTTATATTTGTAGTAATGCTTAACATTGAGCCGATTTACGTGCAATCTTGTTATTTTATTCCATATTATCAATGACTATATTCTAACGGTGTCAGATTTTTGCATTACTGAGCTACATTTTGATGTCACTATTTAGTAAAACAATGAAATATCAAATCGAGCCTGTGCAAATTATTATAAAAAAATATTTACAAAAAATTCGCTTTGCTGACATCACTTTTAATATTGCAACGCAATCACCATAACACTAATTTTTCTAACCCAACTGCAGGAGTTTTTTCAATTTTGCCATAGCTCACCAGACACAGTAAAAATGATATTTAAATATTATTTCAGCTACCTCTTATTTTAATTAGATTTTCTCATTTACATATAATTTAGTCCTTTTCATTTGCTTGCATTAAGTTGACATGCCTTATAGTGCTATGAATATGAGATCCGTGAATTCCTACTAGAAATTTACAATCTTCTCTCAATTTTACTAATTTCAAAATTAGCTTAATCATAAATTTGTGTCATTGCCACCTTTTCTACCATCCAGAATGGTCTTAGTGATGTCCGCTGTCTGTCTGGTGCTCGTTCCAATCCCGTAACTTCGTCCTCGGGTAATCTGTTTGCCTTGCGCAATGCACCTTCCAGAAGGCTAGAGTGCTCCGAATCTGAGCCCAGAAATTACTCGATGCTACCCAGCTGTGAGTTTCATCAATCTACTTCTGGTGACGAGGAATCTGCAGTTTCTAACTTTGATGTGGGATCAGTCGTCAACCAGGTGGGTTTTATAAATATTTTTTTATACATTTAGGTTATTTTTTAAATATTTTATGAAGATCAGAACACGCTATTTTAGTTCGCGCGATAGTGATACAGCTAAGCATT